ATCAGGTACTCCTCAGGTAATCATGATACTCTAAATGGAGTCATACAAGAACTTCTCAGAAGCTCATACAAGTAAACTCCTACCTTTCTGATACAGCCTACAGGAGGAACAGCTTCATATGAGAAGGTTTATGTTTTTTAAGGCTGATCAGGAATTTTTGCCTGTGACGTACTATAGGGCAGAAGCATAAACCTTAGATAGCAGCTTTATGAAGAGGATAAAGATGCACAGACCTGTCCATATTCAGGTATACTTGCCCTAGGAAGGGTCAGCCAACAAACACCAAACATAAAGTATCCCAAAAGCTTTCAGGAAGAGCTCCTGCTTTAGTTACCCCCTTTACTTTTCCTCAGGCAGAAAAAACCCATGATAGCATCCAGAAGTAAATCTGTGTCAGCTCTGAGAGCCTCTCACTCCAGAGGCTGCTGAGCATGAACACAGCCTGCCAGTGCTCAGCAAAAAGAGGATTCACCTGTATTCATCATTGGGATGTGCAATTTCCACAACATCTCCCAGCTTGATTTGAAGAAATACTTTAGGATTCACCACCAGTTCATCATCTACAAGACAAATTAATGAGGAAAACTGCAATAAACAGAATCTTCCTCTACACCCATCCAGGAGCCCAGGATTAACACCTCAGCAAGGAGCTACATTCCCTACAGGACAGTGCCCCTCTTCAACCACTCTTGTGGGCAAACACTTCCCTTTCAAATCACAGAACTCTGCTCAGCAAAACTGTGCACCTTAATTAGGCAAGCAGAATCTTCATTTGGATTTCTCATATTCAAAGCACCAGCAGAGAAGCAGACAGCTATAGAAACTCGATGACATTTATTACCATGCTGTGATTTTAAGACTAGAAGCAGAGAAAAATCAAATAAATTACTTTTTTTTTAGGACTTAGAAACATATCTACAAGTAGCCACAAGTCACTGACTTGTCTGTCACTTATTAAGAGTGACTGAAATAAAACAGAAGTGACACACTACAAGTGAAGGGGCAGAATAAAGCAATGTTATTTTATAGGTGCAGCCCCATTCTGTTCTGACAAATGCAGCTTTATTCTGCTGTATCTTGCTATTAAGAAAGAGCTTTCCAAACTCTGTCTGATAATACTCCTTGTTATGTCAAAAGTTTTATGTTCACTGTCTTGTTAAAAAGATCAATAAATTAATCGCTTTCAAATAAGTAAGAGAGAACTGGTCCCACTGTTATGAACCAGGAGATACTGACCACTGCCTCCAAAACCCTTCTTATGTATGACGAGCTTGTACACCTTGTTGGTTCTCATCTTGAACCCCAGTTCTTCTCAGCTGCTTTGACAGGAAGCAGGGGAAGGCATCTTGCACAGCTAGTATGGAAATGAAGGCAAACACAGACCTCCAGTCAACACACCACACAGCCAAGAACACCACACCTGCAAGGAAGGCGTGTTACAAAGTTTAATAAACATCAGACTAAAAGTTCAGTAGCAACTTCTACCAGCACTCCTGCCAGAGAGCTAGTTCCACTCCCTAAAACCACATTTCTGTATTTCAAGAATAAATTCTGAACCTCGTGTTAAATGCATTAAAATGCATACCCAGACTTATGCCCACTGCCAGTTTTTTCACTCCATCTCTTTCACACAACTTCTCCCATGCTTTCAAAGAAGCTGGAACCCAAAACCAGATGATTTCAGCCCAACACAGCAGCACTGCACCCTGCAAAGCTACAGACATTGAGGACCAAGCAAACATTTAAGTTGGGGACACTGGTTTGCACTACTTTAACTGCTTCAACCACTGCATTTTTATTTCCAGCCACTTTGCTTTAAAATAAAGCATGTTTCAAAGGAGAACCTTTATTTTCATAGTTTATTCTTTTCAGAAGTTGATTTAAACTGTAAGTTATCACTAGGAATAAGGTTTTCTTCATAAATCGACAGCCACATTATTAAAATACCAGCTCTCCTAGTTACAGCTGTACTCAAATCAGAACACAAAGGAAATTCATAGTGTGCGTTTCACACAGACCCAAGTACTGAGCTGGCAGGTGCTCTTGGCAGAAAGTCAATTGAACAACCGAGCTACACAGAAATGGTGGGAAAAACCGGTACATGCAGAGTTTGTTAAAGGAAACCCTATAAAAGCTTCAAAATTAGAACAGCCCCTCGGCTGCAGCGTGTGCCGGTGGGACC